TCCTCAGGTATGAGAAAGTGTTTCAAATGGATGGATATAACACAGCAATGGTTCAACAGCACACAGTTGATGACAGCTTTTCCATTCCCTAAACTAATGAAGGTTCTTGGCAACTGCAAAGAGAAGTCATGGGAGCAAACCAATAGATTGAATTAGATTTACTCAGTGGAATGATTGGTGTTTCACTGGTCACTGCATCTCCATCAGTTATTTGCAGAGCTGTCTATGGAGATCTTCATTAGTTAATCATGTGAGCATGCACTAGCCAGGGAAGTCATGTGTCTCGAGGAGATTATTGATGTGTGGATGTGGTTTGATCATACATGAAGCGCAAATTAAAGGCCAGTTGGATGTTTAAGATAAACATGGCACATTCAATATACAAGGTTGGTGCAGACATTGGTGGTTTGCATGAAATATCTGTGCACTTTTCCAGTTATGTAACATCACGTCATTTTGCCAGGTTTTGTTTACTCATTACATGGTTAGTCATTAATCATGTTTATGTTATACACTGATGGGTACATCACTTCATCTGCCCCCTTCTTACCCTGATGCGCCCATCACTCTGGAACAGGGTAAATCAAGGTTCATTGATTTGGTTTTAATAATGAGTTGGACAGTTCTTAACCCAATTTTAGTAGTTTCAGCAATCTCCTTAGTTGTTTTCTTTGCTTGATGCAGGCCAATAAGGAGTCAAGTTTATTTAGTCTTATGGTTTAGCATGTTGCCTTTGCCACGTTTTGTCTCTGAAAGAGTGATTTTTGTTATACTTTGTTTTCTTCTTTATAAATGCTTTTAGATTTTAAAACTTCGTCTTGAGCCGTTGCATTTGAGGCCAAGTATGTTTGTCCCCTTCCTGGCATGTTTGAACTTCCAACTTGAACTTCCTTGAAAGGTAGAGTAGGTAAGAATGGAGAAACCAGCTCGAGTGCGCTAGAATTTGAAAGTGCACAACCGAAAGAAATCTGCCCCTTCCTTCAGACTTCCTTACAGAGCCCCTCCTCCAACACACACGAACGCGCACATGACCAATGAGGGCACGAGATAAGTTTGTGCACAGATGGAAGGCTGACAGGCAGGTAGGCCATCCAGTTATTTTAGCCGGGCCGGCTAAAATGATTGGTCGTGCTTTTTACAGCGCCACGGCTTCCACAGATGACATTTTTTTATGTATTCATTGTCAAAGCATTTAATATATTCATTGCTATCGGGATGTTGAGAGCATTCCATGGAATATAACAAAAAGTGTTTCTGAAGGGAATTACCTACCCCACCTTGAAGTGTTCCAGGTGCACCATGCCCAAAAATGTGAAAAAAAACAAACATGGATGACCGTGACAAAATAACAAGTATTGCAGCCTTGTATAATATATTCACCTACAAGTAGTTGTATTATTTGTAACCTTGTTGTATTAATTTCCGAGATATGAATAGGTGTTGCCCTTGCATTCAGCTGGCTTTAGAATATAGCACTGAAAGCCCTTCATTTACATTTGTGCAAATATATTCTGCCATGTGTCTGCCACCCGTGCTCCTGCCCTTGGCATTAATTAAGCTCTTTTATTTAAACATAGACCCATAAATATATCAGCCTACACATTCACTGTGTTCCCGTCTAGCTGCATAGGTGGTTTTAAAAATCTGTAAATGTTGTTCATTTCTTCCTGTTGGTAACTGTTCTTACTTGGGCACAGTGCTTCTTTGGACTAAAGGCTAATATCAACATGATAACCTGTGCATAACGATAGACAAACAATCAGATGTTTAGCAAGCTATAATGTTTTAGCTTGATTTACTTGACAGTCCCCTATCTATTCCTAATTTTTAGATTATCTGTTTCCTGTTTCATTTCGATTTTATCTGCATCGAACTTGCAGTGTTTTCCCGCCTTTTTCATTGTTTGTCCAGGCCTCATTAGTTCCACCTGTTCCCCATCAGCCCTGCAATCCCCTGACCTGCTGTACACCTGCTGTTTATCCCGTCATTAGTTTTGCTTGTATTTAAGTCCTGGGCTGAAGTCCAATAGTCCATTTAGCTTAGGAACCTTCCTAACGGAGTGAAATGACCCGGAAGTCCCTCAGTGGCAGCCATGATAAGTGCCGTTCGAATTCTCTAGATCAGTGGTTCTCAAATGGGGGTACGCGGACCCCTAGGGGTAAGTTGGAGTACTGCAGGGGGTACGTGAGATTTATTTTATGTTAATGAAAAAAAACATAAGTAATGCATTTAAACAAACTACTAATAGTAGATGAACTACTTTATTCAAAAGTTGACAGTAATTCTGGATAATAAAATGGGGAAAATAAACGCGGTGCTCTCTTTTCCTCTCCCTCTCCTGACAGCCCGTCAGTCTCGTGCAGCTCGCTGAACCTGTAATAGGTGACCCGACAGTAATAAATATAATAAATATATGTATTACTAGTTTAGCTAGTTCAAGAGTAGATCAACTAGCTAAGTGTGTTAGGTCTAACTCTTATTGTATTTAATGTTGCTCCACTCAACGGTCCGTCACAGCGGGGGAGCTGTGATCATGCAGAGCTGCGTGTTCTCCGTCAGCAGCAGCTGATCTGATCTGATCTCTCTCTCGCATCCGGTTAGACTTCACTCCCATTTATGTCCAAATCTATCAGATCTAGCTAGTTCTATTTAATGATATGACTGCCTGCTTATCAAAGGACACCTAAACAATAAGCGTTGCGTTATGGCGTGTGGCCGCAGAGTATAGCGCAGTATTATGCATTATGTTTATATGAGGGGTCAAAATCCCATGCTCATAAAATGCTCATATATTTTTTTCTCTTCATTCCCCACGCCCCAAAAATAAATAAATAAATAAACCAATTTTAGGAAAAGTAAGGAAGTTTGAGCAGTGTGGGTTTTATATGAACAGAGTTACACATATTTCAAAACGTGAAGTGTAATAACTGCAGTTTGCCTCCCTGTCAGAATGACAAAGATCCTCAGTGAAGCACAAGCCCATGTTTCTCACTACATTGTAAGTACAACTTATTAAAAAGATCAGTTCAATGCAACTAATGTCGTCTTAGTGTTATTGCATGATGTTGAAATTGATTTGCCATGAATTTAGTGATGGATTGTAAACATTTGAAATGTAGCATTTAAGTGTTTCTCAGTTACAATGTTGTTGTTTTAATAAATCAGACACTGATGGTGCAGCACTATACTGTACCTCTTTATATAGGCATTTTGTCCTTAAATAGTTTTTAATTCAGTTTTTTTTCAAAGGGGGTACATTATTATATTATATTATATAGTACGGGAGGTGTGTGGCGCAGTGGATAGAGCCTTGTTGTTGGGATCAGGGGGTCACAGGTTCAAACCCCACTGCAGTTAGCATGTCGTTGTGTCCCTGGGCAAGACACTTCACCCCAAATTGCTCCTGTGGGGATTGTCCACAGTATTGAGTATGTAAGTCGCTTTGGATAAAAGCGTCTAACAAGTGACATGTAATGTCATGTAAGATGTAATTATTGAAAAAAGTTTGAGAACCACTGCTCTAGATGAAAGGAAAGGGGGTTTCAAACTTCCTTTATAACCTCCTTTAGCTTAGGAACCACTGGACCTCCCTTGACGAAAGGAGAGGAGAAAATGCTGCCCCACAATGCCTTGCAGCCGCAGCATTTGCCATCACAACAGTCGGCCGTTCACGGAAACAACCGATTATGACCGAGAAATGATATCATGAAAGTTACGGTGCTTATTAAGCATTTTAAAACGTAGGTGGTAAGTTGCCACAAGTGCTTTGTTTTGAACGTTCATCAGTATTATAATCAAAAAGAGAAATATGAACGTTAGTTTTTACTGAAATGATCAAATAAAGTCAACATTTCACAGTCTTTACTGAGCTGTGTGGGGTTTGTTCAACTTTTAAAAGATGTTTGAATGGTGATATACACAGTGATAGATGGTAAGGACTAACGTTTATAATAAATACATTTATGATTTTAAGATATTTTCATAGTTCATACAATCATACGTATTGGGATCATTTGTATTAATGTGGACCGGAGGGAGAGGGTGACGAGCATAAGTTTCACTTTCCTTTTTTATTTCAATTCCAACTTTGGTCATGAAGAATATGTTTCTCTGTTGTCCACGTTCATAAAGCATAAAGCAACAGCATCAGAGCACGGTGCAGAGTCTCTAGATGAGTTTACAGTAGTCCCTCGTTCTTATTAAACATCCATGTTGTAGTCCGCTGTATAGAAAACTGTAGTTTCCATAGTTTCCCCACAGCAGCAGACGCACATTCATGACGTCCGCTGGCGCATCATAAACACGTCGGATAGTGAAAGTGCATTCGGATTCTCTAAAGTACCGCAGTCTCTTCTCCTAAGTCCTTTTGAATTCTCCTATCCACTATCCCTTAACCCCGTGACGTTTCACTCAAATGTCAAGGAATAGGAGATAGGGTTAGACGTTAGGAGCTGATTTTTGGATTATCCGACCGCAACCCTGGTTTTCTGTTCCAGTCATTGTTGTAGGCATTCTTGGACTCTTGTATGCCGTTTAAACATGAATTTCTGTACCTTTGTTTGTCTGGAAATTATAATGTTTCTCTGTTAGAACTAAGTTCCTGTTACTTGCAGTCTCCTGCATTTAGGTCCACCCCAGCTCCACTTCCTGTGACAGACAGATTGTTCTTAGGCAGGATGGTACTTTGAGCTGAATGCTGAAATCAGCATGCTAACAATCCGATGTTTAGCAGGCTATAATGTTTGGCTTCATATCATCTGCTGTAGCATGTTAAAAATACAAAGTAATGCTGAGTCTGATGTGAATGTCTTTAGTTTTGAAAAATAAGGACGCTGGGTGCAGAGTGCATGTGGTCTTTAGGTGACCACATGCACTCTGTTTTCATTGGAAACAATTGAATAAAGACGCTGGTTCTCAGGAAAAGCACTATGTGGACACAGGCTCTTAAGGTGTCCTTAATTGTCTCTTAATCCCTCTTCTCTTCATTTTATTTTCTTCAGGTCATGGGACGACTTCCATGACTGTGCCAACATAGCGATGGCCGGCTGTCCAGATGAAGCAGCAGCGGTCTGGGAATCTCTCCGCCAGGAATCTAAGAAGATGCAGTTCTCCGGAAACCTGTACGACATGTGCTCCAGACGCAACCTCCACCCAGTGGCCTCGGTGTCCCCGCACGGCCCCCCCAACAAGGAGGAGATCAACCAGGAGTCTCTAAGAGCGTGCACTGATCATCTGGGAGGCTGTGTCCACCTTCTCATGCTCCTGGCTCCTCTTGTGCTGCTGTCGCTTTGGATGTAGCTACCCCAAAGACTCGTGTGAATAGATATACACTTTGTGTATTTCTTCTTTCACAAGTCCATAGACTTTCCACAGTTGTTTCCCCCTCTGCTCTGCCAGTGGTTGTATATTTCTGACTGCATGTTAGTCCGACAGCCTTTTTGATAATGTATCTTTAAACTGCCTGTGCTGTTTCATGCATATTCTCTGCCTTTCAAGTATCTTCTTTATTGAAAAAACAGAAAATGAGATGCGAAACCACTTTGCAAACCGACCTGAAACACACATAGTTAAACAGATCCATACAGCAACATTATGTCATCTGTCTTTATCGCCTATCCCCCAACATCTATAGTTAGTTTCTTTATATTAGTTTATCTTCCTCAATGTAATAAGAGGGACATAATAACGTCCTACTTGATAAACCCTAAATGATGAATAGGCTAGATGCCACAACCAGCTAAACTCATACATTTATCAGCTTGAAAGTATGAAATATTTGATAATTATGTAAATCTAACATGCCCGGCCTGTTACTACCTAGACCGCTGTTTGACTTAAGTGTTGCAAAAAGTCTCCGATTGGCAAACGTTTGACCTTCCCTTCTGGTCCTTGATTGCCTATGCAGAAGCCCCAGTTTCTGTCACCAACAAGAGGAAAAACCTAAACTAGAAAATGTTCTGAAATGTGACACACAAAGCCAAAAAAAGCACCCGTGCCCAATAGTGTAAATAGTGTCTGCAATGTTTTTTGTCTTAGCCCTTGGACAAATGTCCTTGGTGGTTTTAATTATATTGAGTCAACCTCTTCCTGCGTTTTTAGTCAGGTTTTAGTTTACTCTGATCATTTTTGTCTTATCTTGGTCAAAGAAACCATGATATTTTAGACTTCCTTCTCAGCTTATGTTGAACATTTCAGTCAATCTAGTCTAAAAATAAAATACTACCTTGCTTTTTTCCCCAAGCCCTGTTGTTTCAATTAGTAAGAAAGTAACGCATAGTCCTCCGGATTGTGCTCATTGTGTGCAGCTGTAGTATAGTTTTTGGACAAGCACAGGAAACGGAGCTGCTGTATTCAAGAGAAAATAAACTCTATAATAATTATCCTCCTCTTTGTTTGTGAGAGATGTTGGTAAAGTTTTTTTTTTTATATAATGCAATTTAGTCTGTTTTTGTCAACAATATGGCATGTCGTCACATTTAGTGTTTTATTGTCGTCACTGCCATCTGGTCATCACTTCGTCTCAGCCATGCTTGTTAAGCCGTAACCTATTTCAAATCTCATCCCAAATGAGATCTTTATTCAACCAGACTTACTCCTCATAACAGATGTTTTGATTTAAGAGACTCACCAATAATAGCTCTTCATAACCTTTTGTGTTTGCTAGCAATTCACAAATATCACACGGAGATCCATCTGGTATAATGAGTCGAGATAAGTCATGTTGTTACGTCCCCACTAGGGATGAGGAAGTGCAACACACACCAGTTGGAATTGGTAATAGTTATAAGGATTTATTATAGTCCAGTAATGGTGACAAAATGATAAATAAACAAAGGGCCAAAATATCGGTTGATAACAACCAACAGAAAGAGACTCCAAAAGGGAGTTTGACAGAGTATACACAGTAATAATTAGTACCCAAAAGAGAAACAGAAACCTCACTGAAACGTGGTACAGGAAACTGAAAAAGCTGTAACACAACACCGCTGCTGCTGATCAACAGGCGCTAACCGCTAAGCTAACCAGGATCTTCTTTACACACACATACTACGCTAAACACAGAACACTACTTCAACATGCTGCTAAGCAGTATAACTGAACACAGAGGATTCACTGAATTATCAAGCAACACGAGTAATCACAACAAGAGGCTAGAGGCGTCTGTCCCACATCACAGAGCCTCCAGAGTGATGATTGTCCCCAGGCTTTGAAGTCATCTCCAGCAGGTGCGCGCCGGCTGTGCGCTGCGATTGGAGTGCGTCGGGCCCGGCGTGCTCCAATCACAATCCTCAGGGGCGGACCAGGAGATGGCAGCCAATGACGTCAGGGCAATCGCCCTGCTCATTTACATACAATTTAGATTAACACAATGAAGACGACCCAGAAGGCAGCAGCCATAACACATGTTCTTTTTATTCTTCGTTATAAAATGAACTAAATGTAGTCTTTCCCAACAATTGTGGATCAATACAGCCTACTGTATAAATGCTTTTGTTTTTTTTGGGAATCACAAGTAAACCCCAAGGCCCAAAATACTCAAATGAAAGATCTATTGGCTGCTCAAAAAGTTGTACATTATTCCCTAACTACAAGTTCGTAGCCAGGGCATATACACCAATTTAAATTGGCTTCAGGTGTACACATTTGTCTGAAAATGATTTTGGATGCCTTAACATGGTTTTGGATGGTATGAAAAAAAAACTTGTTTTTTAACAACATTATCTAAGGAAAGCTAAAATATCTTTGTGATAAAGGTGGGAATAATGGCTCCTGCAATTCGTCATGATACTGAATGTCGCCCCACAGGATAACATAGGACCACACAACGGACTAAAGTGGCATGTCAAAAATGTAAACTCTTAGAAATTAGAATCTACATGAAGCGCTACTACAGTATAAGCAAATACATTTAAATACAATTAGCGATTCAATATTAAGACAGAAAAATATCAACAAAACATACAATTTGTAGTGTTTTAATTCTTAAATTTGAACAAAGAGCATTGCATACAATGCCATGGATTCCTTACTTTTATTTTAAAATTGTACATTGTGTAACATAACCTTGAAAAGGCCTTACAGCTTCCCCTGCAGCATCCTTATTTTGAGCAGAAGCTAAGAGAGTACTTGAGTTGTTTTTATTTGGTGCTTACCCAGGTATGAAATCCTCCGAGGCTCGTCCTTGGCATCGCTGTATGTAGCCGAACAGTATGGGACCAATATGTTCTCCAGTCAGACTCACGATCCTTCCGCATGCCAAGCGTATTTCATGCTCCAGGAGCCGTAGTTTGGCCCCGCAGGCCTGCTGAAGCTGCTTGTTATTCTAAATGGCTCTGGGTAACAGTTGTTTCTATCTGGCCCAGGATCAGAAATACTACCAGATTAGAAACAGACCGAGTTAGAGAAGAGTACACCTGGAAAACAAACACCATTCTGCGAGTTAAAGATTGAACCGACCTGTCTAGCAGAGAGTGTTTTTTACACAAGAGACTCAGGTTGTAGGCTTACTTTTCTTTCTTTACAAAAATAAATCAAAGCCTGGCCAACTTTCAAGAGTTTCAAGAATGTGAACTAGCACAAAACAAAATCCTCAAAGGCAATAACAGAAAACAAACTCTACCTTGCCAGTGGCCAGTTAAATACACCTACAGGCTTGAATAAAACAGAGAGGCAAATAGATCTGGAGAGAGTTCTTATACAATAGTGGTCATTTTACAAGTCTTATTTGATTTGGGACCCCATTCTCAAAATGTTCTTTTCTTTTCTTTTTATTCTTGTCACACACACAAACACATATACGCACCAAATGCATACTTTGACCCTAGGATGTATAGAATAATCCCTGGAGCCATAAAACACTGCAAGGCTAAAAGAACTGAGCAGAACAATTTAACTCATTAAAAATAAGAGAACAAATAAAAACCCTCCAATCATCCCACAGGTATTTCTTATGTAAGGGACTTCACCAGGAGATATGCTTGGATGGTATAAAGAAGCTGTCGCGGTTTTGAACTTTAATTAAAGTGACTGAATAAGCAACTAAAGGCCTCAATGGCTGATTCAACAAGGTGAAGCAATTTGAAAACCGTCTCCGCTGAGCTCCGATAAGATGTTGCCCACTGTAGGCTAAATGTGAGAGAATCACAAACTTGAGACTTGGTAGAAAAATCGGATTGGATGTGTTTGTATAAATGCAGGCCTATAGTGAGTTCAGTCATCATAACCTCGAAGATACCATTGCTTTACGGGAAAATAACCACTTGAGATTGGATTTTAAAGTCTGTTTTCCACGGAGGTACTCTAAAACACAAAAAGATCTCTTTATGAGAAGATATGTTTCATGTGAGGTACGTGGACAAATCTGATTTCAGAGTGGTTTTCAATATTGCTGCAGGGTAAATGCAACTTTATTGACCAGAGCAGAGCAGAGAATTATTTTTGCAGCATTGCGTTTGAGACTGGAACATCCCTGCGCCTCCAGCAACAGCTTGGTGCTCCGGGGTTACATCAGACAGAAACAACTGCAGGAGAAATTGTAACATTCTTCAACACCAATACATCAATGTCACATTATTGGTACAGTATATTTGGTTTTCTTGCTGTGAACAAATGACGGAGAACATTATTTAGCCGTTGTGAGTGCTAGTGTTCCTTTGCATTAAGACAAGGTTTTACATAAACCCTTTGATTCAGCAAGACACTAATGCAGAGGTGAAATCATCAGAGAGTAACAGAAGAGCTAAGGATGCATGAAACACCATGTCCGCTTGCCAGGGCAGACTCAGCAGAACTTGAAGCCAGCAACTCTGAGTGTGAACAGGTTAGAATGGGTGAGCGTGGCAGATGGCAGTAGTGAAAAATGTATGACATTCTGACCGGAGCTTTAAGTAGAGCAGCGAGGAGACAGACTGATAGACAAACCCACCTGGGTCCCAGATTCATAAATGTGTCTCAAACTAGTGGCTGCGCAGCTGTGTTTTTAAGTTCAGACCTGAGGCCTCCAATTTGTAATTACTGATTAGACAAAAGAGAAATTACACGAGTAAAAACTTGTGAAAGCGAAAGTCAAGATAAGTATGGGATTGACCTACGTAAGTCATTAAGGATGCATTTTGTGATGATTGAGAAAGGCGTTGATAGAAAATAATCATTATGATGCCTTTATCTTAATTTGTCTGATAATAGAGAAAAAGAAGTTAAATGCGTTTGAATTCTCTCTATCTCTGTAAATAGCACACACAAGCACACACACATTTCAAATAAATTAAAGTGGCTATTTCTAGATATAGAAATACAAATCACTGTTTTATGACACACAAGGAGTTAGGTCACATCATGTGTAAAGTGTAAATAATTATAGCTCTATGAATATCTCTATGTATATAGCAGTAATATACTGTATTATATATGTATATTTAGACAATATCATCCTGCAAGTGCTACTTTCAAAGCTTTAACATTTGTATTTGTTGTGCTATTTACATTACCGTAGGCCCTGTAAAATACACTGTAAAAAAAAAGGTGCAATGCCATTTTTTTTGACAACTGATTATTTCAAAACCCAAATTGGCGGGAAAAAGGTACATTGGACCAAAAGCGCAATTGTCCGACAGTCCGTCATCCCGAAAACAAACGCACACCAAACACTGTGCATCAAGCAAAACAACTCCAAAGTACTAGAAGAGAGCATCGGAGAATTGTATGGACTGTTTCTGTGCGTGTCTATAGATAGATAGATAGATAGATAGATAGATAGATAGATATACTACAGAGAACTTTCACAATGATAGAGTATGTGCTAATGAAGGTATTGCAAATGTAAGTTGATTAAAAAGTCATTAAAAGGTAAGGACAGCGCAAGAATAATGATTACCATGAATAATATGAAATACTAATAAGAGATGAATACATGAACACATACAAATGCTGGTTGTGCATGAGGTGAAACTGAAAGAGTAATGCTTATCCATAATGCTATGGGGAAAAGTACGAGTAGAAGATACAACTCATAGTAACCTCTCTAGTGGAGCTGATTTGACTTAAATATGGACCCCAAGGCCACGCTTAATTTTCATCATCATTTTCAAAACACATACTGTCATGTACTGGATTTCCATCTTTAACCAAATACAAAGTCATCTTTGAAAAAAAGCTTAACACAATGTCATATGTTGCTTAATTGTTTGTCATTCCTCAGTATATTCTTTGTTCAGCAGATGGTGATCTTTTGTGTAGGTGAAAGAGACAAAGGAAGACAGATCATTTATCTCACTGTGGTGTAAATTAGCTCGTTGAATGAATCATTCATCCACACAACCCATTGTACATTTCATTGTCAAATGAGGAAAATGCTCTTCTGCGGAATCCAAATGTCGCTCCC